CCAATGGGACGCGGGTGAGCTGTGCGTTCGGGGATCCAGCACAAGACGTACTCACACAGGACACAGTGTGCCCCGTTGTCTGCGGATTCAGTCCGGTACACTACGTGCCACTTTGGTATGGGACATTTTGTTTGACGATCATCTTCTGCTGGTGGCGAGGTAGGAGGGTTGATCACGACAGCTACTTTGCAAAGAGAGGTGGGGTAAAAGGCCGCCCAGCCTCACCAGTGGCTCTGTTTCTGGATTGCTCTCGAGCCGGCTACTCAGATCGACATCTGATCGTGCTTTTCGTTGTTTTCACTTTGTGTGCTGTCCACTCGCTGCTGGTGCGCTGGGCATCACTTCTTGAAGAGGGCGGAATCAACAACGGATGCATCGGCTATGGAGATTGGTCCAACTTGGATGAGGTCTGCCACCAGGGGCCGTTTTTGGAGCAAGGTTGGCCGGTTTTCCTCGTGATTTACTTCATGGTCTTCTTCGGGGCCCTTATGGATCAAGGAATCATTGGTGCCGAAGAGCCTCTTGGCTGCAAGGACTGGGGCGAAACCCAAAAACCGAAGTTTTAGTCTGCTCCTTCATGAACTTGGCCTCGCCCCGTTTGTTTCAGATAACTCCTCAGGCTGCGGAAGGTACGGGGGCGGAAGCTTGCAGCCCGGAAGCGTCAAGCAGTCTGGGAGAGGTTTTCTCGCCAGCTTTTCACTGTTGACTCCATCCAGAAGGCGTCGCCCGCTAAAGAAGTCCAGCGTGCCCTGTACCGCTTCGCGCAGCAGAACGTGCCCATGCCTTTCCTTTCCACTTGTGAGCTCATCGATAGCGAACTGAGCTTGGAGGATGAAGTCTACGTTTGGCCCCAGAGCGTCCTCGGGAGGCATGAAAGTCCCAGTCCCTTTCTGTGATGTACATGGCTTGGAAAGTCCCCGAAGTTCTCTGCCACCCCCCGAAACAGCACCAGATGAGAAGGAAGCATAAAGACATGCCTTGAATTGACCTTAACCCTAAACCCTAAACCCTCATGCCTGACTCCTGAACCATATGAGTACCATTGTAACCGGGATACCCACCCAGTCGATTGGCTTCGTGTCGCTGCCAAGAGTGCTGCCGTCGGAAATGGAGCTCGGGGAGCCCGAGGACCTGTTCGTTTGGGTTTACTGTTTAGGGCTTAGGGTAT